GTGAAACATTTCATGAACGATGTACAAATGTTTTGAAAACCAGATAACTTTGAACAAATGTTCTGTAAACGTCACCACACGAATGTTTGTTCATAACTTTGAGAGAACCTTGCCACAACGTTTTGAGAACATCCCTTGTTAAATACTAAAGACATAATGCATGCGCTAAATGCACTCTGAATCAAGAAATCAGATCAGGTGCTCACTGTCAGTAATCAAATAATGGGTTTTGTTGTGTGCACACGCATCTTAGTGGTAGATCTTGGATTTATTTTGAGCTGCACTTATGCAAATGTTGTTTCAAGCCCACATATACAATGAGAAACTCGAAAGGAGTTGTTTGGAGTGTTTCATAGAATTAAAAAACACCATACAGTCATGATCTCAAGTCATATGATGGATTTGAATGAGGAACACACTAAAATGGCAGCTCTCAAATCTCATTCACACTTCCACATATTCGAACTGGCGACGCGCGTCATTACAACAAACCTGGCATGATGCTACTGTACATAATATTGTGCAGAAGTCATACTTTTATGGAATAGAGCTGTGCAAAAATTCTCAGTTTGTGTTTCAGATTGAGACAACAGGCAGGTGGGCAAATATTGACAAGAGATTCAGCTTTATCGCTTTAAAGCATCTGACTCGTCAAACTGGCTCCACACATGAGCTTGTGTGCTGAAGGTGCTCTGATTGACAGAACGGCGCACTTCGACAGAGTTCATTTTGATGCGAGTTTGAGTTAAATCCGAGTTGAAGCTTAAAGCACAGAGTTAGGCTGGAGTTTGGCCTTTTGCAGAGCGATAGAGAAAAAAAGGAGGTGGCAGAATACAGCAGAACGTGACCACAACATCCTGTTTGTGAATCTGCAAGCTGCATGATATGACAGGACGAAGTACAGAGACAGCCGACGTGAATGAGATCAACTGAACTTCATTCCACTACTGTATGTGACTGTGAGAAGATGCTGTGGAGATCGTCTCACTGTCTGGCTCTCTGTACACAAGCCTGACTTATGAGAGCAGAGCAGGCGACACAGAGAAATGACCACTGGAGTAACCAATCAGATTGCGCCATGTGAGAGAATGAGGCGGGACCAAAATTGTAGCATTTACTAAAACTGGGAAACCTGTCAGGAACATGTCAAACTTCGCCTTGGATTCAGAAGAAAACTAAATTAGCGCTTACTGTACATTTTGCTTACAGAACATTGAAGGATGATTTTCGCACGGGTAACATTTTCATGAAAACAAAGCTAAATGACTGTATTGCAGTGGTGTTATAAATCATCGATGGCTCCATAAAAACTTTCACCAAGATTGTTTTAAAAAGAACTGTTCACTGGAAGGTTCTTTGGGGAACCCAAAAATATGGTGGACCAGTAGTGCACAACACAACAAAATCTCCACAACACAAAGAAATCGCAACGGAAACAAGCCGCAGCACAACGGAAATGCTCCTGCTCCCTTATAGAGGATGCATTAAAACTAAGGACTCTATAACAGAGGTAATGGTCTAACGAAATTCAAATTTTGGGCATTTTTTTATACTACAAATTTTTTTTTAAACCATTAGCCAAGTCATTTATATGGCTATGCAAATTTAGTGTCATTTAAAAAGCCTGGTGCAGTAAAAGCTCTTTAAAATTAGTAATATTTTTAGTCCATTAACTCTAGTACAAAGCCCAAATTTTTAGCTTTAAAGCATCGTTTACGTGGCCGCGAGAAACAGCGTTATGAAATGAATTCAACAGCAATAATTTGTGCAAGTTCAAGAGTCCATAAAAACATTGGTACGGTATTGGTTTAGTAAATTGTTCAAAATTAGGGTTTTGTTAGTCCATTACCACTATATAAAGTTTGCATGCTATAGTTTTACGCCTTTATAGAAAACAGTGGCTGTTTGCAATGTAAGGAGCATATTTTAGATGCTGTTTACACTAATTGACAATAGAAAGTATTTTATGGATACACTGTTTACACTAAGTGAAAATAGCAATAGATTCTATTCACACTATATATTTTCTTTGCAATAAGTGTAAATAGTCGTTAGATATTATTTATTAATATAATTAGTGTAAATAGCCTATATGTCAAAAAGGCTGGTTATTTACTTAACCCAACTAACAAAAATATGTTCTAAGAAAGTTTTTCTAATATTCCCTTTAAGTTGTGTGTGTGTGTGTGTGTGTGTGAGTGTGTATGTGAGTTGATGTTCTCTGAACATTCTGAAATAATAAGCAGTAACGTTAGCTGAATGTCCAACTAAACTGTTTCAGAAATGAAACGTTGCATGAACAATATATAAATATCATTTTTGTGCTAACGTTTAGAGAACATTAGTAAAGACCAGATAACTTTAAACCAACATTCTATTATTGTTATTAGAAGAAGGTTTGTTTGTAACTTTGAGCACACACACACACACACACACACACACACACACACACACACAGAGCAATCTTTTTGCTGAGTGTGTGTGATGCACTCGAGGCCAGCGCACAGAGAGGATCCTTATCTGTGATTTTATCCAGACTCAGGCGACTGATCAGCGACAGGCCTCTTTGAGTGAGATTCGTGAGCGTGGATCCTCAGTTACCAAAAAGCTAAACCACTAAAATAATAGTGCAACATTCAGAGCTTTTGATAAACGCTGATGAACAGTTCAATAGACTTCAGTCAGGTGAAAACGAGATAGCTTTCACAGCTCACAAAGCAGTTTTATGCAGTTTTTGTCTACTGAAACTGCTACAGTACAGTCCGTTGAATACACTGTGCTTCCGTCATTTTGATTCCTGTCAGAAGTTAAATATAATGCAACCCTCTCTACAGTGTCAGGAAGATTCTGGAACAATCAAAAACACCAGTACAAAATAAACCTACTGACATACAGTCACTGGTTATGAGTAAAAACAGTATATTTGAAGTAAGTCTATTGCAAATTACTGATAGATCTACAGTAAGTACAGTGAGAGTGCATGGAAACATTTGTGAGACATTTGGTGGCTCCCTATGGGATTATGGGTAGCGTAGTCCTTCACCAATATTAAACACTGTTTTTAAAACATGTTGAGATCTCGCTGACAGAAGCATATGACGACGCTTAACAACCTCAGCGCTCACGGTGAGTCTGATCTGAATGGTGTGAATGTTATAAACCCGTTTCTGTCTTCTGTGCCTCACAGCCCTGCTAATTTCTCTTTATATGTTCAAAAGAAAGTCTGCAGTCTAGCGTCAGAATGAAGAGTCTCTGCTGTCGATGTCGGGTTTGTTTCTGGGTGGAGTGTGTGGCCGAGAAGCCTTGTGTGTTAAGAGGAAACTCATTTGCCAGTCAAACGGGGAAGAAAATAGCCATTCTGCAAAGATCGTGAGCTTTGAGCCCAACTGTGTGCTTTACGATGACAAAGCATCTGAAATGTCACATACAGATCCAGATCTGTCAAGTCTGTACAGAGGAGGTTTGAAAGCTTTGTCAGTAACAAACAAAACCGTATATGTTTTCAAAACCTACTACTTTTTGAAGAATTTATGAATAGTGTTGCATGCGGAACTTGAAGTAAAAGCAACAAGACACAATTGTAATCAATGATAATTTAATACACTGCAAAAAAAATGCTTATCTAGCATTTTTGTCTCGTTTTTTTCATTACAAATATCTAAAAATTCTTAAATCACGATGTAACATTTGCTTGAACAGGACAATAAGATATTAAGTCTGAAAATGACAAATGTATAAAAATGAAGTGAGTTTATGCTTAAAACAAGAACAAATATCTGCCAACGGGGTCAAAAAAATCTAATGGTTTTCCCTTTGAATTTTTTTCAGAAAACAATACTTCACATCTCATGTTATTTGCTTCTATTGTTTAGACATTTTTACAGAAAACATGACAAGAATAGTATGTTTCGCAGTGCACTTAGTGTCGAGGGTTTTATCACCTCTTTGGCTTTTGTAATTTTGGAAGAAACCACTTTTAAAATTTCGACGTTCTTCTCCACGGCCGGTTTATCACCACATTAAACTGCACTGATAAAGTTCAAGTGTCAACCAATCATAAACTGCATCACAACACGAGCAATAACAGAGATGCTTGACTGTTAGCAAATGCCACTAAAAAGGGAACACACACATACACACACACATACACACACACACACACACACACACACACACACATGTCTGGTCAGCTATCCTTGTGGGGACTCTCCATAGGCATAATGGTTTTTCTACTGTACAGACCGTATATTCTATTGTCCTACACCAACCCTACCCCTAAACCTACCCCTCACAGGAAACTTTCTGCATTTTTAGATTTTCAAAAAACTTCATTCTGTATGATTTATAAGCTTTTGTACCCGTGGGGACCACAATTTAGGTCCCCACCGTGACACGAGTCCCCATGAGTCTGTGTGTAGTCAGGTTTAAGTCCCCACCAGGATATATAAACCAGTACACACACACACACACACACACACACACACTGACTCAGTGACTTCCTGTCTCTGACAGGAAGTGGAGAAACTGTCTGTTGTTCATGTGAGGATTCTCATTTGATCTTCAACACCCTCCTCTCAGTTTCTTTCTTATTTCCACTCATCCTCACAACCTCCTTCTCTCATATAACCTCTTGTCCTGCTCTGATCTCTTTTAGTTTGATTGCACACACGCACACACACACACACATCAGTATAATATGCCCTTTTTAGGCAAACTAGGAAGTGAGAGAATGTGAGGGAGATGATGAAAAAGTGTGAGCGAGAGAGTGAAAGACTAAATGCAGTTCACACATCTCATAGAAGCGCACACTTGTTCTTTATTTTGAGGTAGTGTTATTTACAGATGTCATTTAGTAAGTTAGTACAAACTGAGCCACGAGCGACAGCATGATCCCCGAGCTTCTCCAGAGAGTCTGGACATGCGATAAGTGCACTGTATGCTGCTAAATAGCTGTTACAAAACCTTAAACGTCTGCAGAAGTGATCTGTTGACCTGTTTTAGCATGCTGAGGAATTCTCTGAGGAATGCAGGTTTTCTGTGGTGTGAACAGAAGTGCCCCCTTCTGATGAGATGCACAAACTGACCAAACCACGCCGTTCAAGCAGCCGGAGGCAGACCCCTCGTAAACCCCAAATACTTTATTTAAAATGTGTTTTACTGGATTTGATGATTCCAAGCAACATTAACAACATTAACGCGGCAATGCTTTGCTTTTCTCGTGGTCTTACAACCCTTGACTTTCATTATGCTGTATTATCACCAATTTCTTTTTGTAATTAGCACAGGTTTTCTATTTCTTTTTGGAACTGATTCGCAGGCCTCATTGATCTGAGCTTACGCTCCTCAGTTTTTGAGTGGGAAAAAAACCAGCATTTATTTGTGGATAATTTTGTTCATAAGCTCAGATCAGCGAGGCCTAAGATCAATCAGTTCCAAAAAGAAATACAAAAACCGTGCTAAACTTAAAGAAAACAAGCTGAAGACAAATACTCAATACAATATTTGGCATAATATGGAATAATGAGAGACTTACAAGCAATTCAGAACTGGGAACACCACAAGTGTAACAAGATGGGGGGAAAAGTCCCCCAAAAAGTGTATTTATATGTGATAATCTGTAGTATAAAGCGCTATATAAATAAAGCTAAAAAAATGGCTATTATCCAGCATTTTTGGGAAAAAGAAAATTATTTTTAAAAAGTCAGAATTGTGAGATGTAAACATATGTGCGCCTCACAATTCTGATTGTTTTATTTCCCACAAATCTCAAAATGACCAGAATCTCCGAATTGTGAGATACAGGCCCGGTTTCACAGACAGGGCTTAGACTAAACCAGGATTAGGCCTTAGTTCAATTAGGACATTTAAGTAATTTTTATAAACATGCCTTAGAAAAAAACATTACTGGTGTGCATCTTGAGACAAAACAAGGACACTGACTTATTTTAAGATCAATCAGTGCATGTTTCTTTCAGTTGAAACAGCTCAGACTTACATTTCCGTCTGAGACTATAGCTTAAGCCATGTCTGTGACACAGCCAAGAAAAATTCAGTATTGTGAGAAATAAAGTCAGAATTGTGAAGTAAAAAACACAATTAGCTTTATTTTTTATCCCGTGGCGGGAACAATCTTCCAGCTAGTGTAATCAGCAAAACAAATGACACAGAACGGACAAAAAGTGAAAATACCGAGAAATGCTTATAAAATCATTATTGATCTTCTGGTTTTGAACTACGGACCGCTGACATCGGATGCCTCACCCTAACAGAGTGCAATTTTTTTTAAAAGATAAAAAAAATATTTATATTCACATATAACCAAATGTAGGTCACATTGTAGGTCATGACAGTAGGCCACAAAACCAAAAAGCAAATAAGTGCTGTCCTTAATTTTACTACGGTAACCATTTTCACCACCACATAGAAATGACTTGTTACTATGATTGATACAAACAGATTTGCTTGGTATTAAAAATGTTTAATAAGGGAGAGAGAGACTATATTTGTCTACTATAGTTAATTACTGTTGCCAAGGTAAAGTTTTATAGGGGTGACACTCGTCACCAGAGACCCATTATGGAAAGAACACAACTAGAAATAAATAAATAAATGTGTTGATGTTAATGGTCTAGATAAGGATAAACTGATAACAGATCACAGACATCATGTCAGGTGGACCGGATCACCAGCATTTTGTGTTTATAAAAACACCGCAAGACAAATGCACGAGTTGCCAAGCCTTTAAAGGGTCAGAAACCGCTGTGAAAGAAAGCAATTAACCTGTTGCACGAACGTTGAAATACGCTTTAAAGCAAAGACCTGCTCTGTACTTTGCATTCTGCATTAGGTCTTCCTAAAAACAGCCAAATTGCAAATTCACAAGGATCAAGTTCATATAGGTTCAAAACCTGCGATGAAAACTAGCAGAATAAAAACAAGACTTCAGATAACATACACAACCTTTTCCTTTGCTTGGGCTCTAAGAAGAGTCTAAACCATAATCGACTGGAGAGCTGAGTGTTAAAAAAAAAAAAAAAAGGACATAAGTTAATCAAAACTGTATACAAGGTTTGTTTACAGTTTAAGCACAATGTTCACACCATTACTCAGTAATATACCATTCCATACTAACTGGTGATGGAAGACCACCAACATAATAATCTCAATAAAACTCATTCTCTTGTTTTATTACAATTTTAACTGCTAAAAAAACAATTCAATCCAGGCATGTTTGACACTTCAGTCAAACCAGGAGTTTTAATGCCGCACTGAGAACCATTTACGTCAGTACCTCGTTAACTCATCAATTAGGCCAGTTGACTAATTAATGAAATCATTAAGGTATCATTTAGAATACAAACTCATATTATGTTATATAAAACTAAAGGCTCAATGTTAATATTTCTTTTTTTAAATTGTTTTTAAATGAATTGTTTGCTGTGGAGTGTGTTTGTGTTTTCTGTCATTATCATGCTGTGTGCTCAAACAATGTTGCTTGCTATATTAAAGCTGTTGTATGAGTTCATGGTTAAAAGAAAACATTTTCCCTGTCTGTATTTATCTGTTCAAATGTTGTCATTTTAATTAATCTTAATTGTTATTGTAGCAGATAAATGCTCCAACATATCCACCACCTTTCATACTGTAGGAGAACCAGTAGATAATGGTAGATTAATATAAGCAAGTTTAAGTAATTTTAACTTGTAAAAACCCAAATAAAATGGACATCTCTGAACATTTCGTGATTTCTCAACCAACCAATGTTTGCATGAGAATGTTAACGATTGGGTCCTTTCTCACTAATTTCACTTTAACGAGGGGCCCTGGTGATGAAAATCTGTTACTTTAAAACCCCTCAAACCACTCGATGCTTGTTTTAGAAAGCAGAATTAGATTGTCAATTCTTCAATCTTTACTCAAGATGGTTGTTTCAAACCTTATGTTTTTGGTGTTCTCGTGTCACCAATTGGTGTTCAATGGTGAAGATGTTTTCACCTTAATGTGGTGTTTTAAATATGTCTGTTTTTTGTTTTTCTCTCTTTCTTTAATCTTATGTTTTGTCTTCAGGGTTTGCTTCTCCAATTGGGCATCTTTTATACCAGACTGGTAGTGAGCAAGTACGCTTCGAGAAGAAAGGTTTGAAGCTTTTGTGTGGTCATAACATTGTGTCTTTTTTGTTCACACAATATGTAGTTATATTAATGAAGCAGGATTACTTTGTGTGTGTGTCCCAAAATTAAGTTTCAAATCTAAATTTAGCATTAAACATGGTAATGTGCCTCATGTTAAGCCCAGGTCACACATTTGAGATTATCAAATTTTAAATGAAGCGCTTTATAAAATGTAAAACTTTAAGTGTATGTAGTTCGGGACAGAATGTAAACATGAGTCTAACATTAGTTTTAATTAAGCAAATTGTGAATCCTATTCTGGTCTTACTGCCTTGTGTATTGGGGAGGAAGACAAAGTCTAAACCTATATAGGTCCAACCCTAGTGTAAATCCACATTTAACACTTCAATTAGTCAAACTTTGTTAGCTTTGTTAGTCTTAATTTTTTATATATATATATATATATATATATATATTAAACAAACAAAACCATATAACCGTTATTTTGGCTAAAGTTTTGAATGTGTGAGTATTGTGTCCAGTGTATTATTGTTCATGCCTTTTGTTTTCCAGATGGCCCCTTGTCCCCTCTCTGTGCAAATTAAATTCCAAACCAGCCAATAGTAGCAAAGTGTAGCTTGGCTGTTCTGCTGTCTTTGAAGAATGAATCTGGTCTAATTATCCAAAAGGGTAATCTTTTGTATTGACACTGGACCATGAGGAAAGCTAATTGCAGCTTATCTGACATGTTTTGCACCAGTTTTCTTTAGGCATTGATGTGAAGAATTTGCCCTCTGCCCTGTCCAGCCCCCAGCCCACCAATGAGTCCAGCTCTCTGCTTGCTGAGTCCAGCCTCCACCAAGTTGCAGAGTCAACCACTCTCCCCTTTGAGGAGTCAGGCACTTTGCCCACTGAGGTTAATGGGAAACTGACTGAGTCCAGCCCCCAGCCTGCCAAAGAGTACATCCCTCTCCCAGCTGAGTCCAGCCCCCAGCCTGCCAAAGAGTACATCCCTCTCCCAGCTGAGTCCAGCCCCCAGCCTGCCAAAGAGTACATCCCTCTCCCAGCTGAGTCCAGCCCCCAGCCTGCCAAAGAGTACATCCCTCTCCCAGCTGAGTCCAACCCCCACCCAGTTGCAGAGCCCAGCACTCTCCCCATCAAGGAGTCAGGCGCTTTGCCCGCTGAGGTTGATGGGAAGTTTACGGAGTCCAGCCCCCAGCCAGTTGCAGAGTCCAGTGCTCTCCCAGCTGAGGTTGATGGGAAGCTCACTGAGTCCACCCCTTTGCCTTCCAAGGAGTCAATCCCTCTCCCAGCTGAGGAGTCCAGCCCCCACCCAGTTGGACAGTCCAGTGCTCTCCCAGCGGAGTCCAGTCCTCTGCTCACTGAGGAGTCAAGCCCTCACCCAGTTGCAGTGTCCAACCCCCAGCCTGCCAAGGAGTTCATCACTATCCCAGCTGAGGAATCTTGCTCTCTGCCTGCCAAGGAGTCCATCCTTCTCCCAGTTGAGGGGTCCAGCCCCCCACCCTGCCAAGGAGTCCATCGCTCTGCCTACTGAGGTTGATGGGAAAAACATGACCAGTTCCAGCTCCCACCCTGCTGAAAAGTTGTGCTCTGCCCACCAAGGGGTCCAGCCCCCACCCAGTCGCACAGTCCAGTGCTCTACCTGCCGGGAAGCCTAGCACTCTGCCCACTGAGGTTTATGGGATGAAGCTGACCGAGTCCAGCCCACTACCTGCCAATAAGTCCAGCGCTATCCCAGCTGAGGAGTCAAACTCTCTGCCTGCTGAGGAGTCCATCCCTCACCCTGTTGCAGAGTCCAGCCCCCAGCCTACCAAGGAGTTATGCACTATCCCAGCTGGAGAATCTAGCTCTCTGCATGCTGTGGAGTCCATCCCCCAGCCTGCCAAGGAGTCCAGTGCTATCCCAGCTGGAGAATTTAGCCTTCTGCCTGCTGAGTCCAACCCCCACCCAGTTGCAGATCCCAGCACTCTCCCCATCAAGGAGTCAGGCACTTTGCCCGCTGAGGTTGATGGGAAGCTCACAGAGTCCAGCCCTCTGCCTGCTGAGGAGTCCAGCTCTCACCCTGTTGCAGAGTCCAGCCCCCAGCCTGCCAAGGAGTCCAGTGCTATCCCAGCTGGGGAATCTAGCTCTCTGCCCGCTGAGGTTGATAGGAAGCTCACGGAGTCCAGCTCTCTGCCTGCTGAGGAGTCCAGCCCTCACCCTGTTGCAGAGTCCAGCCCCCAGCCTGCCAAGGAGTCCAGTGCTATCTCAGTTGGAGAATCTAGCCTTCTGCCTGCTGAGTCCAACCCCCACCAAGTTGCAGAGCCCAGCACTCTCCCCATCAAGGAGTCAGGCGCTTTGCCCGCTGAGGTTGATGGGAAGCTGACTGCGTCCAGCCCTCTGCCCGCTGAGGAGTCCAGCCCTCTCCCCATCAAGGAGTCAGAATATTTGCCCACTGAGGTTGATGGGAAGAAGCTGAATGAGTCCAGCCCGCACCCTACTGAGGAGTCCAGCCCTCACAATGTTGCAGTGTCTAGTCCCCACCCTGCCAATTATTCCATCTCTCAAAGTGTCATTACTTGCCTGCTTCAACCAAGATGTGCTTATGCACTGAAGTCTTTTAGTAAGTTTCTCTAAAAATCTCTCTAAATGTGGCATTTTCACGTCTTGTGTTTTTAAGTCCATAAAACCAGTTATTTTTGTGGTGAAGTGGGTATTTTTGTCTCTTTTTAAACTTTGTGCAAATGCAGATCTTCTACCCTAATATACAGCAGTTATGCAGACTTTACCTTCCCGTGTTCCAGTTAAGTTCAGAACAGTTCCAACATGGTGGTGACATTACGGCATTAGAAGGGTCAGTTTCCCAAAAAAGAGACTAATCTTTGCCGCTAGATTTTATAAAACTGTACTTCTGTAATTGGTCACTAATGTTTTCTTTGAGCATCATTATTACGGAGTCTCTCAGTATTTTAAAAACTGTTTGTGTAAGAATTGGCACAATTGTTTTAAAGTAGTTTTGGGTTGAGGATTGCATGTCTCCATGCAGTATGTCAGCTTCTACCACCTGAACTTTTACCAAACTTTTGAGGTTAAGGAAATTCTAGGCCTAAAAAAAAAGGCTAGTATATTCATGAAACCTTACAGTTGACAACTGTTTTGCACCATTCAAATGTGTGGTAATACCTGAAGTTTTTCAAGGCTTTGGTGCTATCCTCCAAATGAAGTTGAGAATATCTTCACCGTGATGTTTTTGGTGATTTGAAGGATGAAAGTTGCTTTTTGTTTCCTGTTGTTAGGCTGCACTTAGCACCAGACTTTGTGCAGTCAAAATCCTATATGTTAATACTTATCATGGTCATGTTGTCCCAATAAGCTAATATCAAATATAGATTAAATTAATTTTTTATTTTTTTTATTTTTATATACATCTTTTAACCACTGGTTTTCTGGCCTGTGGCTGGCCTTTGCAAAAAGCTTGAATTCTACAGTGTTTAGTTATTGTGCATTTCAAAAATCTTACGAATCTCGGCAAGCTTCACCTGTACAAAAAGACCAGCCTGCAAAACAATTTGCAATTTAACAAATCACACTATGCAGTGTTCACAAAAGTTCAGACTGTATCACAGTTAAACTTGTTTGTTACATAGATCTATATGTACATCTACTGCAGAGGCTCATGAAGTTTTTCAAGGCTTTGGTGCTATCCTCCAAATGAAGTTGAGAATATCTTCACCGTGATGTTTTTGGTGATTTGAAGGATGAAAGTTGCTTTTTGTTTCCTGTTGTTAGGCTGCACTTAGCACCAGACTTTGTGCAGTCAAAATCCTATATGTTAATACTTATCATGGTCATGTTGTCCCAATAAGCTAATATCAAATATAGATTAAATTAAACAATTTTTATTTTTATTTTTATATACATCTTTTAACCACTGGTTTTCTGGCCTGTGGCTGGCCTTTGCAAAAAGCTTGAATTCTACAGTGTTTAGTTATTGTGCATTTAAAAAATCTTACGAATCTCGGCAAGCTTCACCTGTACAAAAAGACCAGCCTGCAAAACAATTTGCAATTTAACAAATCACACTATGCAGTGTTCACAAAAGTTCAGACTGTATCACAGTTAAACTTGTTTGTTACATAGATCTATATGTACATCTACTGCAGAGGCTCAAAGTTTTTTTTCCCCCAAAAATCAGCATGACTCGAAAAATAATATAAAGATAGATTAAGAGTAAGTAAACCAACAGTTAAACTTGTTTGTTACATAGATCTATATGTACATCTACTGCAGAGGCTCAAAGTTTTTTTTTCCCCAAAAATCAGCATGACTCGAAAAATAATATAAAGATAGATTAAGAGTAAGTAAACCATAGACACATTTATAAGCCAGTGGCATCTTCTGAGGAAACAAGGGAGGCAGTGTCTCCTAGAAACCAGATGAAGAACAATTAACATTCAAAATGTAACTATAAATATGAAAAATAGGATGAAATACAGTTGTCTGTAAAGCCCTGAACTGTGGTGTCACAGACAGTAGACGGGACAAATAAGTCCTCTAAAAATTTCTAAAGGATAGGATCTATTTTAAAACTTTGTCTATTGTGACAAAACGGTATTAAAACTGGGACACTTTCCCCTCATTTTGGTGTTTTTATATATTTTATATATTTATTGTATGTATACAAATATACATATTATTTTACTAATTTACAATTTGAAGGGATTTTGTGTATGTTTCTTTGTATGTTTTCTTTAGCTCTATTTATCTTGGTTTTATTTTTATTTAATTTAATTTATATTTACTTTATTATTATTATTATTAGCACTGTGTTATGTTTGGCTATGTGCAAACCTTTGGATTTTACCCCTGGCTTATTTGTGGTGTATTTTGTATGTAATTACTGAATGAATGAATGGAGTAAGTAAATAAATAATAATTATTATTATTAAACTTTATTTGTAAACTTATAAATAAGGCACTGGACAATAAATAAATGAAGTCCTCTCAAAAAGTAAGTTATTGAAATATTCAGATACAAAATCAGATACAGAAGGGTCTGTGTACTTTTGCGTCCATTCATTTTTCATTTTTTAACCCAGAAATAAAATATGGAAAATGCGGTTTTTCCTTAATGGTTAAAAAACTGATGAATAGAATAAGCAGACACAAACTAATGTTCATTATTCAAAATTTGTATTTCATTAAAAATAATAAAAAATTATATAAAGCTTGTTTTTTAATGTATATAAATGCTAAATATAGTTTGTAGCTTTTTTTTTTAACGTCTCTATACAGATGCCCTAAGCACCCTCTCGCGGTACTGACCTATTGCTTAATGAAAACCTTTGGCTTAGGTATTATTATGATCTTGATAATTGTTCACGGCTAAAAACATGTATGAAATACTCATTACATATTTCTTTGCATTTAAATGTATCCAGGGCCAGTTCTACGGGAGTGCTAGAGGGAACGAAATGAAAGCAAGAGCACCTCAGTTGAAGCTGCAGAAATAGGATATACTGACGAAACATATTTTCCAGATGCTCCAGTGTGTATTTGTGAACTCTGGAGAGCTGTAAAGGTTTCTATTTTCAGCGTGTTTTTGTAGCATTGGTCAATCACTGACATTTCTGTTGATTTCTTGAACGCAATGGCTAAGCAGAGGTGTTTATGTTAGAATCCATTCACCACACAAAACGCCAGTTTTGTTCAGTGCTGCACACTCGGGAGTCTCTCACTATAACAAACAAAAAAGTGTAACATGATTTAAATAAGAAATTCACTGTGCAGTGTAGAGCTTCATTGATTATAACGGAACTTTTGGAGATAGCGATAAACTGAAATGAGTGACACTTTTTAGTGATTATAGGCCTACTTATTCAGCTTATCATCAATCACAACTCCAAGGTTTCTGGCTGTTTTTGAAGGAGTTATGGTTGATGAGCCTAACTGGATGGTGAAATTGTGATGAAACGATTGGTTTGATGGAATCACAAGCAGTTCTGTCTTGGCAAGGTCGAGTTGAAGGTGATGGTCGGTCATCCAACAAGAAGATGAGCCTAACTGGATGGTGAAATTTTGATAAAGTGATGGGTTTGTTGAAACCACAAGCAGTTCTGTCTTAGCCAGGTTGAGTTGAAGGTGATGGTTCGTCATCCAACAAGAAATGTCTGTTAGACATGCTGAGATGCGAGCAGCTCGTCGGATCATCAGGATGGAATGAGAGGTAGAGTTGAGTGTCATCAGCATAAGCAGTGGTATGAAAAGCCATGTTTCTGAATGACAGAACCTAGTGATGCCATGTAGACAGAGAAGAGAAGTGGTCCAAGTACTGGCTATTGATTGGCGGTTGTTGGCCTTCTCCTGACGAGGACGAACTAAATGAATGGGAGGACTTGGAATTGGATAATGGCAAACAGTAAAGTAATTTTTCTTTCTTTATAAATTCCATTAATATATAGCTTTTAACATGATCGTTAACAAATCTTAATGTGCTATCTCCTTAGTTGGTTCATTCTAAATAGTCAGTGTCTTTTTTGTCCCTCATTAATGTGTAAAACAATGATTATGATAAGCTGATGCCAACATCTACAATGTGTTATTATAGGTTAATGTTGCCAGTTCAGTAACTTTATTTCAAGTGTTTTTTTCGTTGTCTAAATTTACAAGGATTTAGTTTGACTTGTGTTTTTGATGGATAGTCAAATGGCTAACCCAAGTTCGCATGTAAGTGATTAAAATATTTAGTCAAATCAAATGTTTATAGAACTGAGTGATACTTATTAACAACCATCTCTTGGTTTTATCCACCTTTCTCCTTCGCCTAATGACGCTTTGTGCGAATTATGGGAGTGACTTACACTGTTAACAATCAGTGAAAGATTCGCTCTTTGAACGCAATAATAAGTATTTTCAAAAACTGGGTACAATGAGGTGACATTATTCTACACACCCTTCTATAAACATTTCACTAAATATTTTAATCACTTACATCATTTATAAGAATAATAAGAGTAAGAATAGGCTGCGCTGCTCGTGGGTGTGACCTCATTACAATTAATGAGCTCAGACGGAACGACTATATCCTACCTCTCGGTTTTTATTATATTATTATTATTTACGAATTAAATAAACAGAAAATATTTGTTTTCGATTGTTTAATTTAGAAGTACACACATTAGTACTCACATTTTTCTCATGTCTGTGTCAAGTATTCACTGAGTTTCAGTTCATGTTTGAAGCGTGTTTGTTTATTTTACAAAAGCAATTTGTCACGTTTTGTTGTTGTGGGTGTACACAAAATAAAGCAGATATTTACAGTTTCTAATGTATAACTCATATGACCAAAAACAAATATTAAAGGGGTGGTTCATTGCGATTTCATTTTTTTAATGTTAGTTAGTGTGTAATGTTGCTGTTTGAGCATAAACAATATCTGCAACGTTACGAAGCTGAAAGTTCAATGCAAACGGTGATATCGTCTTTTAAAATTCTGGCAGTTTCAGCAACAAACAAAAATCATAAGCCTACCATTAAAAGCCGTGCTTGCACAGGTTCTGCACGATCCTCTTCAATAATAACCTATGCTTCTCAATCGGGCTCAAACTGACAAGCGATATTAAGGACGCCGTTGTTTACAATACAACCGGAGCACATGCCGCTGAGGTGAGGGGCGGGACATTTAGATGGGCACTAGAGGCGGTTTAGCC